TTAGTTCATCTGAGGTCATCTGTTCTCTGGGAAGAGAAAGCGCCTGGAAACTATCAATAAGAGAAAATTCTAGTTTGTTAACTATTTCAACATTATTCTCAAAGATTTAAAAGAATTTTTTTCACACTAGTTAATATTACTAGTTATCTAGGCAAGGAATTTTACCTTTTAAAGTTTGGATGTATATATATTTTATAATACTCATGAAATTTGAAAGAAAGTAAAGCACACATTGCACGCAGAAAAAGTATAAGGTCAAAATACAGCTGTTGACCCCATGAGGTTCTCACTTGATATAGTTTAGCTGGGTCCCCACCCAAATCTCATCTTGAATAGTATTCCCATAATTCCCACGTATTGTTGGAGGGTCCTGGTGGTAGATAATTTGAATCATGGGGATGGTTTCACCCACAATATTCTCATGGTAGTGAGCAAGTCTCATGAGATCTGATGGTTTTATCAGGGGTTTCCACTTTTGCATCTTCCCCAGTTTTTCTTGCCGCCATCATGTAAGAAGGGCCTTTTACCTCCACCTCCCGCCGTGATTCTGAGGTCTCTCCAGCCATGTGGAATTGTAAGTCCAATTAGACCTCTTTTTCTTCCCAGTCTCAGGTATGTCTTTATCAGCAGCATGAATACAAACTAATACAGTAAATTAGTACCAGTAGAGTGAGGTGTTTCTGAAAAAAATACCCCAAAATGTGAAAGCTACTTTGGAACTGTGTAACAGGCAGAGGTTGGAACAGTCTGGAGGGCTCAGAACAAGACAGGAAAATGTGGGAAAGTTTGAAACTTCCTAGTGACTTGTGGAATGGCATTGACCAAAAACCTGATAGCAATATGGATAATAAGGTCCAGGCTGAGGTGATCTCAGATGGAGATGAGGAACTTGTTGGGAACAGGAGCAAAGGTGACTCTTTTTATGTCTTAGCAAAAAGACTGGTGGCATTTTGCCCCTGCCCTAGAGATTCGTGGAACTTTGAACTTGAGAGAAATGATTTAGGGTATCTGGCAGAAGAAATTTCTAAGCAGTAAAGCATTCAAGAGGTGACTTGGGTGGTGTTAAAGGCACTCAGTTTTATAAGGGAAACTGAATAAAATAAAAGTTTGGAAAATTTGCAGCCTGACAATGTGATGGAAAAGAAAAACCCATTTTCTGGGGAGAAATTCAAGCTGGCTGCAGAATTTTTCATAAGTAATGAGGAGTCGAATGTTAATCCCTAAGACAATGGGGAAAATGTCTCCAAGGCATGTCAGAGATCTTCACAGCAGCCCCTCCCATCACAGACCTGGAGACCTAGGAGAAAATGGTATCATGGGCTGGGCCCAGGATCCCTGTATGCAGCCTAGGGACTTGGTGCACTGCATCCCAGCTGCTCCAGCCATGGCTGAAAGGGGCCAATGTAGAGCTCAGGCTGTGGCTTCAGAGGGTGTAAGCCCCAAGCCTTTGCAGCTCCCATTTGGTGTTGAGCCTGTGAGTGCACAGAACTGAAGAATTCAGGTTTGGGAACCTGGGCCTAGATTTCTGAAAATGTATGGAAATGCCTAGATGCCTAGGCAGAAGTTTGCTGCAGGGGCGGGGTGCTCATAGATAACCTCTGCAAGGGCAGTGTGAAAGGGAAATGTGAGGTTGGAGCACCCCCCTACACAATCCTTACTAGGGCACTGCCTAGCAGAGCTGTGAGAAGAGGGCCACCATCCTTCAGACCCCAGAATGGTAGATCCACAGACAGCTTGCACCCTTTGCCTGGAAAAACTGCACTCAATGCTAGCATGTGAAAGAAACTAGATGGGAGGGTATATCCTGCAAAGTCACAGGGGCTGAGCTGCCCAAGACCATGGGAAACCCTCTCTTGCATCAGCGTGACCTAGACATGAGACCTGGCATCAAAGGAGATCATTTTGGAGCTTTAAAATTTGACTGCCCCACTGGATTTTGGACTGGCATGGGCCCTGTAACCTTTTTGCTTTGGCCAATTTCTCCCATTTAGAATGGCTGTATTTACTCAATAACTGTACTCCCATCGTATCTAGGAACTAGCTTGCTTTTGATTTTACAGGCTCATAGGCATAAGGGACTTGCTTTGTCTCAGATGGAACTTTGGACTGTGGACTTTTGGGTTAGTTCTGAAATGAGTCAAGACTTTGAGGGACTGTTGGGAAGGCATGACTGGTTTTGAAATGTGAGGACATGAGATTTGGAGGGGTTGGGGTGGAATGATATGGTTTGGCTGTGTCCCCACCTAAATCTCATCTCAAATTGTACTCCCATAATCCCCATGTATTGTAGGAGAGACTGGTGGGAGATAATTTGAATAATGGGGACAATTTTCCCCATACTGTTCTCATGGTAGTGAACAAGTCTTACGAGATCTGATGGATTTATCATGGGTTTCTGCTTTTGCATCTCCCTCATTTTCTCTTGCTGCTGCCATGTAAGAAGTGCCTTTTACCTCCCACCATGATTCTGAAGCCTCCCAGCCATGTGGAACTGTAAGTCCAATTCAACCTCTTTTTCTTCCCAGTCTCAGGTATGCCCTTATAAACAGCATGAAAACGGACCACTTAAGGAAGTGCTAATGATATTCTGCTAGAAAAGTAGATCTGTTGATTGACAATAGAGGACAAGAAACTAAGAACAGACATTCAAATTCATCTGATAGTTAGTAATAAGGTAGATAAAGAATCTAGGAGTCACAGAATATGGGGTAAAAACAGTTAAACCAGTTTACTGAACATCACTGGAGTTGGGTTACTATAGGAATGATCAAAGAATATTCCAAATTGAAGTTGGAGTGCATTAATATATGGCAGATTATAGGGTTTTAAATCTAAAAAGTAGGCATGAAATTATGTGCCTAAAACATGAAAGGAAGAGAAAGTATATGTACAATATCAAGTTCTAGGCATTTTGCTGAAGTAGCACCAGAGTAGCTTAGTAGTGATTTAATGCCCAGTAGTCCATAGTAGAATTGTGAAAGCAATACTATCAAGTGGCCAGTTGTTGCTTGGCCAGTGAAAGAGAAAATAGTCTTCAATTTTAGAATAAGAGGGGTGGACAGAAAGATTTTTTGAGATCAGAATTTTATTCACAGATTGACCACATCCCAGAAATCTGGAAACCTATAGGCTTGCCATAGCCAATTACAGGGAAGTGAGATATAGTGCAGGCTGTATAACTTCTAGAAATTGAAGGCAGGAAAAGTGAAAATGAAAGGTGGTAGTATAAAGCAAGGTTGGTCACCAGCCACTCTTAAGACAGAGAAAGAGTGCAGGAACCTACTTATTGGACACACAATTCCACATGAGATAAGAACTCAGTAGTTTAGGAACTGGAATAATGCAAAATCCCAGTCAATAGAAACTGGAGTAACAAAGCCAGATCAGGAAGCAATAAGGAAATGAAGTAAACTTTGGGGACTACTGTCATCAGGCCTCTAACATTACCCACATGTAAAAGCAGTCTTCATTTCGGACTCACAGCTGGGGCTAAATCTAACAACTTGGCCCCCAGTGTCAAAGTTTAGAGGGATGCAGAAATAAGAAGTCATTTAGACTCTATTTTCCTTCAGTATTATCACCTTTCAAAATTCCCTATTGTGATTGCTGAAATCCTTACATTGCAACAATTTTGATTATGCCTTGACATCGTTACTTCTTTATTTTACCTGCCTTATGATTTAGTCACATCAGAAATTCTAGAGGCCTTACATTTTTTCACAGGTATACTTTGCATAGACTTCAACATTTGAAGCTCTTGATTTCCACTTCCATTGCCATTCCCTCATCAAATTTTTTACATCCTCTTTCTACACAATTGTCTTTGTTTATATCTACTTGTTCACAAGGTTTCTCTCATAGTCTAATTAGTGTAAGAGTTCAAGTTTTAAAAGGCTAGATTGATTTCACATTAATCTCTGACCCTGCACCCAAGAGAGAAAAGGAAAAATAAGGAAAAATGTTTGCAGTTTTATTTGCTGTTATGCATTTTCTTCACTTGATAATGCTTAGGTGTGATTTTTCATGACTTTTTTTTTTTAAGTAGTTGCCTATTTATGATTTAATACATACATAATTAGTTATCTTTCCTTTTGAGACTTTATTTCAAAAATATTCAAAAAATATTCAAAATATTCAAAAATAATGTATTCCAGCATATCTTCAAGAGACTGTGTTTTTCAACATGTCAACTCAGCATACTTTTCTTCCATCTTTCAATTGTACTATTTCATATTTCAATATCCATGTTTTATTCATTTAGCTAATTTTTCTAAGGAACTAAAACAATCCAAAAAAACTGCACAGATATAAAAATTCACCATTAAAAACTGCTTACATTTATGATGTGATTATAATTCCATTTCTACTGTTGAGTTTTTTCAGTTAATAATCAAACACACAATTCATCAAATGTCTTTTAACCATTAATGAAAAACAAGCATGCATGCTTAATTATGTAAGAAAACCATAAAACTCAAATATACTAACATACACAAATATCACATATAAAGAGAAATTAAAGAAATATGGCTCAGGATATCAAATATAAACTTGTTAAATTATGTTCTTACTATCTCTTAGATAATTATTAATAAAAAGTAACATTAACATAAATCTATTACATCATTCCATAGTAATATTGATAATCTTTATACACCAAATACAATCACACAAAACTATAGAATATGAAGAAGAGATACTAAGAAAAAAGTTTGTGTGGAATATTAAATTTAATAAAATTGCCATTTGCCTCCCCCCTCACCAAAAAAAGCTGTGTGAATCTTGTTGCTGTGACGAGATCACTTTTTCTTTCAATTATGCAATAATTATAATATTCTCTTCCAGGGTAAATGTAATTTAAATGTTACACGGAAAAGGATATCATAGACAAATATTTGTTTGAGCTTTTAGTAGTACTTTAAAATTTTCTAACAGTTTTCCATCCCCAAGTAAAATGTCTTTGAAAAACTTACAATCTCAAAAAACAGAAGAAAACTCACCTTATTACAAAATTGTGACTGTCAATCTCCTTTCCACATTCACTGTCTAGCAGAATGCCAGAATTTCCAACAACAGCACAGGTCTTAAACCTGCGATTCTTCATTGGTGAAACTTCAGGTAGGAGGCTATGTAGATCATGAGAAATATTTAGTGTCCGGCGCCTATCAAGCACATAGTGTATGACATCACCAGGCTTAAAACTGCTCTTGACCACTGAGACATCTCGTTCTGCATCTAAGAAACGAAGTATGTTCTTCCTGTGTTTGAAATACAAGCAAAGTTTTTATATTACCATCAGCATATCCAAGAACTGGTGGTGTCATTTAAAAAGTAACATAAGAAAAAATACAAATTGGCAAACTATTAATCTTAGATTACCAAATCGGTAAGCTATAAATCTTAGGTGGTGATTAAACCAATGAATTAAGTCAATTCTATAAGAAATAAAATTTTAAAAATCATTTGCACAGATTCTTCATGACTGTGTACATAGATATAGTATATACATCTATTTGTGGAGTTATAAAAAGTACTCCAATTATCAAAATATATAGAAAAATTGGTATATTAAGTAGAACACAGTTGCCATGACTTGACTTTGAATAGTTATTCTGCTAGCTTCAGCCTATTTTGATAGTCATAAATGTTGTTTAATATCATCTAGTTAAGGTGGAGAGAAATAATTTGAGATTGTTTTTGACTGTATCACAGTTAATGCTATTAAAAGGAATGAACTTCTCAAATTTATATACATTTATACATATGATATGTATATTATAATTATCTAAAGAAGAATTAAAACTATAGCAATAAATATATATGCAACATTTTCTCTAAGATCAAGAGTCCAGGAAGTAAGATGGATACTTCAAAGACAAAATGAATAGATAGAACATTGGACTGTGTGTGGCAGAGGTAGCTAATTGTTCCTTAGTTTCCTTTCTTCTCTTTTTCCTTCTAATATTTGAACCTTCTAAGTTTTACCTGGTCACATGGATGCTCATCAAGTCTCAAAACCCAAGTAGAGCTCAGCTGGGTCATGCAAGTTAGTTTTCTTAATTAAATAGGATATGAGTGAATCATGTGAGTTTATGTGCGAAATAAAGAAATTTCCTACTTGTTTGGCCACTAAATTTTAAAGTTACTTTTTTGGTCGATACTTAGCCAACCCATACCTAATATATAAATTGATAACAGATTGAGAGCTACATGAACATAAATATATGCATATGCTTAGGTAGATGATGGAAAATGATTTTTATATAGATATACACACACATATATACATCCTATATATGTATAATTATTATACTATACATATATATGGCTGGCTGGAGAACTGATGATCCTTGGCATGATATAGAAAAGCACCTGATACAAATGCTGTCTGCAATAATTGGGAAGTTGTGCCATACATCTAATAAATATGTTGTTCTTAGATAATTGTTTAAAATGTGTCTGTATGTTGGTTTGTGTTAGTTTCTCCTTTTAGCAAGGCACTAAAAGAGGTGAAGTCAGGCATAAAATAGCCAACTAACTTGTAGGCTGAGATAAAAGAGAATACATATCTAGCAGTGCCTCTAATCTGAACTGTGTGAGAGTCTATTGATTGGGACCTTTTAAATGTTTCTGTAACCCCAATCAGCAAGAGATACCACTATAAATTGGAGCCATCCCGGCAGCAAAAGGGATATTGCCTTCCCATATAAGTCCATAGATTCAAATGACTTAAGGGTAGCTGCCATTAAATTGAGAGGAGGGAAGGATAGGTCAGAGTACTTAGAGGAGAGTTCGAAGGCTTAAGAACAGTGAGCAGAAGAAATCACTGGATGAGGTTATTTATACCTAGAACTAACAAGAAGGGAAGAGTCCGGGACCCTAGTAGGTTTTAAGGAAAAAAAAAGTGTATATATATATACACACACACACACATATGTGTATATATACATATATATACATATATATATACACACACACATATATATATATGGCTTTAACATCTCAGCTCTAGAGAAACATGAATCAACAAAATCTAATGCTTAATATGCATGCTTTACCAGTACAAGTTTTCCTACTATGTGGTCAAGTTATTACCTGATATTCAAAGCAGGGGGTTGTGTTTAGCTCAAATTATGAACCTGGTCTACAGAAGTCTGGAATTGTTTGATTCTAGGGGTATCCAACATAATAGGGAATATACAACATAATAACAGCAAGAAACAATTTAAGAAAACTCTACACCTAGGTTGGAAATTGGATATTATTTACTAAAGTGCTGTTAGTGCAAGCTTATATTTTCAAAGTAATAACAATAATGGCATTATTTTAACATTTAAGATATGATGGACACATTGTTTCCTCTAGTGCTCTTACTTTTTAAGTTCATCACAATTAGTAAATTTTATTACTGAGAGCAGAATATAACCTCATCCCTTGACTCCATCAAAAGAGTAATTCTCTAACTCAGAAGGCATAAGCATGATTAGCAAAGAAGGGAGGAAAGTAACTCATATCTTTTCTTTTGTTGTCTTTATTTTTATTTGCTCTAAATAGGTTCCAGTTTAATATTTGTTCTAATTAGAAAACCAAGTGATTGAAAAGCTCTGCTCTGATTTTATAAACAAGAAATATGTCCATCAGCTAGTTGAAAAAATAATTTTATGATTTTTTCCCAAATATTCTGAATAGCAGGTTAAAAGCAGTAGAGTTTGTACAGGAAAGCCTATATAATACTCTACAAATGAAATCACAAAATTTGATAGAAATACCACTGACACACCATAACAGTTTAGCTTAGCAAAGTCCAGGTTATATAAGAAGATAATTATATTTTAAATAAGAAACCCTAGGGCTTATGTATTATAGAAACTGCAAAAGTGTTTATGTCAAGCACTTAATGATTTTTCACAAAAGTTAACAACTAGCACCAAAAGTGTCAATATGCAGAGACTTTTGTATATATTTATTGAGTACCACTTATTTGTCTGGTGAATAATTAATATCTGACACCTGTACTTCAACAGAAATTTCTCATTTCCTGTGTAAATGACAAGGCTGGCTCTAAAATAGAGACTACACGGATGTGGTTAAATCATCAAGCTAGATGGTGTTATCGTTTTTCTTTGAATATAATTTAAATGGGTTGCTGTAGAGCTATTTGAAGATGTACACTACCAAGAAGTGGCATGTTTGCAAGCTTACAGCGAGTAGATTAGTGGTCCTGGTGTGAAAAAAGACTCTGTAGCTTGGAAATCCAAACGGGAAAATCTATCTTATTTGGTCAAAAAAGTTAACACTTACATGCTAGTCAACTAACATCAAAAGGGACTTTCCAATAACAGCACCTTTGCTGTGTTACAGACAAGTTAGTTGCAAAAATAATGTAAAACATGTATTTTAAGTTCCTGAGTATAGCCAGGCGCGGTGGCTCACGCCTGTAATCCCAGCACTTTGGGAGGCTGAGGCGGGCAGATCACGAGGTCAGGAGATCGAGACCATCCTGGCTAACACAGTGAAACCCCGTCTGTACTAAAAATACAAAAAAATTAGCCAGGCGTAGTGGTGGGCGCCTGTAGTCCCAGCTACTCGGGAGGCTGAGGCAGGAGAATGGCGTGAACCCTGGAGGCGGAGCTTGCAGTGAGCCCAGATCACGCCACTGCACTCAAGCCTGGGCCGCAGAGTGAGACTCTGTCTCTTAAAAAAAAAAAAAAAAAAAAAAAAAAGTTCCCGAGTATAATTAAATCTCTTTACTTTATTTACTCTTAGGGAAAAATGATTTAAAAGGGGAACTATAAGAGTTAAGCAAAGTTTTGAAAGACATCATATTGTCTAACTCTTAGAAGAAACTAATGCTTAATAAGATAAATAATACTAAATGCAGATTTTAATTACGTGTTTTTCTAATGTTGTTATAGGCTCGCCAGTATTTTTTTCAATTGAAGCAGTAAAAATAGTAAAAGTGATTTCAAAACAAAAATGACTACCAACTCACATAGACTAATCAAAATATAAAAACACAAAAAGTTTAGGCAAAACTCAGAATTCGCTATTTTACAAAGTAAAAAGTAAAAGAGGTAAACTTTAGTGACTCTGGGTTTTTTGTTTTTGTTTTTGTTTTGTTTTGTTTTTTTCTTATTCCCGAACCAAACTTTTAGTTTCTGTTTTAGGTCTTCTACATATGGGAAGTTATCTGAGTTAAGATTCCTTTTCTAGGATCCAAGAAAGACTGAAAGTAATTACTATGAGTGAATAATATTATGACTTAAGTGCTTAATAATTTCTGGAAATGGTAAGAAAAGGTTAGCTTTTTATCTCCTAGTGAAAACAGTTTTTAGACTGTAGATGTAATGCAGAATTAAAAGCTTTGTGAATTTGCTAAGTCTAGTTGTTGTTCAGACTATAAATATGAAAAAAGAATGCATTCAAATATAATTAGCTAAATGTCACTGGAAGCATAGAAAACTCCTGTATTTACACTGAACTGAAACAACACCATGTCACCAAGGAGAACATATATGCTTTTGCTAAGAAGACAATTGATAGAAATTTTTGTTTAACTGCAGGTCAAACAAAATTATTTGAGAAATGAGAGAGGTAGAAAGAAAACTGGCTTTAATATCTATGCTCTATCTAGAGAAACATGAATCAACAAAAGCTAATGCTTAATATGCATGCTTTACCAGTACAAGTTTTCCTGGTACGTGGTCAAGTTATTACCCGATATTCAAAGCAGGGGTTGTGTTTTCTGTGACTCAAAAGAACAGACAAACCAAAAAAAGACCCTTCACAGGTCTTTAACTGTCATTTTGTGATCATAATGCAACTTTTGAAGCTTCATAAGATAAGCAAACACCTAAATTGAGTAACTATTTTAACATTAAAGATAACTGAAGGAATCTGAAAATGTGTTTCATTTTCAGTGAAACTAAGTATCTTAGTCATAGAAATTATTTATTGTTAGGCTATATCAGCCTTAAACTGAGAGGTTGGTTTGAACTGTTGAACTGACAACAAGTAGAGTTCTACACGGAAACTTTTAACTGAATTTTCAACTAGAACTTCCCTTTCAACATCACCTATCACTTGAAATAGCAACTGCAGAATCCCAGAAAATGAATTTACTAAACATTGTTTAGTAACAAGTTTTCACTTGTGAAAAGTTAAATATAGTTAAGCTATCACCAAGTGCCACTCTTCTCTGTAAGTTTCTTGGCAATAATAAGCACACAGTTGCAACTAAAATTTAATCTAAATGACATTGTTAACTATATCAGAAAATACTGTGTGACAAATCTTATAGGTGGAATGTATCACAAGTTGAGAAGCAAATTAGGCTATGATACATATATTAGGGATCAGTTTTTGCAAACTTTAGACACTGACTACAAGAAAAATCACTGTAAATTAAGTTAGTACTGACACAGTTCACTAAAAGAAAATAAAAAGTAAAATTAAAAAATTCCAAGTGTTTCATTATGCCTACAAAAAAACAGAGAGAACACACATATTTTGTTTATTTGTTTATTTCAAAAGATTATTTTTGCAAGGCAACTTGCCTTAAAGCACTGAAAAAATAAAACCTTTAACTGTATCTTGTTTAGGATTTCTAAGACCTAGCAGTTATGGGAAAGCCATCTTAGTACCCTCAAAAAAAAAAAAAAAAAATCTTAAACACAACAAATGAAAAGGCAAAATTGTCCCACAATACTTGATGAAGAGCATTTTTAGTTTAATTTACACCCTAGACTGCCGTTTGATATTTGGCCCAGCATTTGGTAATGTTGAATGAAAAATATCTTGTGTTATTTTAGAGCAAAGAGAATCATTTATTCCATAATGATAAATTTTAATAATATATATTTGGGTACTAAAATATATTATTAACAAAAAAAATATTTATAAGGTCCTGGTTCCTCAGTCAGGAGGTCTGGGTTTGAGTCTTGACACTGCCACTAATAAGCTTTGTGACCCGAGATTAACTCTACTGGTAACTTATTGATCAAAGCCAGTGGAAGATGGTATACACATTGTATGTATACCTTTTTGTAAAGTACATCTATGTATGCAAAAGAAAATTTTTCTTGTCAGTTAAGCATCTATAAATTTGCAATTATGTTTAGTTAACCTGCAAGTTTTATGTATTTCAGATCATTGATATATCATGACACTAAGAGCTGAAATATTGTTTCCTAATTTTGATGTGATAAAACTGTCCTGATGTGTACATTTGTACGTTTCTATACATCTATAATTCATGTTTGCACTGTTTGAGGTTTCTAGTCAACATATAAAAAACAACAACAACAAAAGAAAATAAATAATCCAAATATGGAAAAAAAGTCAAGTTGCAAGTATTGGACCTGAGTGTATAATCTCTCAGTACGATGTTCACAGATTTATTCACAACATCTAATGGATCTTAAATACGTCACTTCTTAGCTTGTAATAATAAAGAACAAACTTTTATCAATAATATCAAGCCTTAAAACTAAGATAATTATTTTGAGTGCAAAGTTAGCTGTAGAATGCATAAATTCCATATATTTTGAATCCTCAAAGTACAATGAAGTAACACATGGAACCATCTCTGATAGACAACTCCATAGAAGTACAGTTGTTTGATGAATACATAGGAAGCAATTCTTGGTGTGCTTATGAAAATAATATAAGGCATATGGGAATGAAGGGGATAGTAATAGGGATGAAAATCATATCTACAAATGTAAAAAAATATATCTCAGGAACTATTTTCACATTTTAGTATGTGGACAAAATTAGGAATATAATAAAAGTATTATAAGTTTAATAAGATTTTTAAATTTGAAAGATTTATAATCATAGTTGAATCACGTAAGATAAAAATTGGTTGGAAATAATGTCTTTATGTTCTCACTCATAAGTGGGAGTTGAACAATGAGAACACATGGACACAGAGAGGGGACCATCACACACCTGGGCCTGTTGTAAGGCGATGGACAAGGGGAGGGAGAGCATTGGGACAAATACTTTATGTATGCAGAGTTTAAAACGTAGATGATGGGTTGATAGGTGCAGCAAACCACCATGGCACATATATACCTATGTAACAAACCTGCATGTTCTGCACACATCCTGGAAGTTAAAGTAAAATAGAAAATAAATTAAAATAAACAAAAATTTAAAAGTAGAATTTTGAAAACATTTTTAAAATTTACCCACAGCCAATCACTGACCCAAAGTGATATGGAAATTCTTAAATGCCAGAAAGGTGAGGAAGAAAGAAAATAATAATAATAATAATAGTAATAAATGGTCCATAATTAGTTTCCAGTATGTCTTTTAAAAATATTTGCAAAAGCTAAGCCAACAGTCAGATACTTTCATATTCTAAATTTTTTATTACAGGTGTCAAACTGATTAATATTCACTAGTCATTTCTGTTATAGCCAATTCTAATTTTTATGAACTCTTTGTACATTGTACAATAATGGTTTTTCAAATTATCCTTTCCTTTCAAGGAAGTGACAGCCTTGTATGTATTATTCAACATTTGTTCATTGTTTTATTGTTTATTTCTTTAATCTGTTAAGGAGACCACACAAATATAGTACTAACATTTCATTCATATTATCAGCTATTATAATTGAAAATAGATCAACCTCAAATACCTGAATGCAATGCTCATCGGTTTGTAAAGTTGTAATATGAATCTTCTGGGTCAACTTAGGTTTATTACCCTCCACTTGAATATGTTATTAATAGCAAAATGTATAAAGCCTCATGCATATTTATAGTATTTGATTTTTATATAGCTATTAGGAAAGGCATTACCAGATATAATAATTGAACTAGTGCCAATTACTTATTTAATTTACTTAATAGATTTTTTGTTATCTGACACATTATTTAGCATGGCTAGATATGCTAGTTAAACTATTACAATATTTTATTTTACTTTCTTCCATCAGGTTTCTTTACCAGATCTCTGTAGCCTTATTTGGCCCCTTTCTTGCTAACTCATCCAATTTGAAAGTTATTTTTCTGCTTACAGATCAAATTTTTGCTATTTAATCACCTATCTCTCTCTTTTTCCAATGTACCTTCAAGAAACATGAACCTTCACACCATTCTAAACCAAAGTATATCTGTATTTGTAACCCCACATCGTCTCACATCTTGTGGCTTTTTCCTCATAATTATCTCATCTCTCACAGGGTTTCTAAATTCAAATGTGAGGATGGGGATATGAGACAGAGAAGAATGCACTTGACAGGTGTCATGAAAGATGTGAGCTCCAAGTATGAAAATGTCAAACTTGAGAGACCATGGCTAGGGTCAGCTTTAACCAGCTAAATGTTAGGAAGAGTACAGATTCAGAGTTTTCAAATCTTTCCATTTCTCAAGAGTTAATGGAAATCTGTACTTTTATTAAAAAACCTCCTGGCTTTTAATCTTGGCTTTAAGGTTTCTTTTTTCTTTATCCAGTGGAAATAAATTTTGCTTGCTGGCCATATTTTACCCAGAAGTCATTGATTTATGAGCTCTATCATCAGATTCTACTTATCTATTCATTCTTGTAGGAGGCACATGAATACAGAAAGCTCCCACCAAACTAAAAGCAAACAAATATACACCACTTGACATTGCCATGATTTGATTCCTGTTTCCCTTTCCAGTCAATTTCAAACCTTTAAACCAAAGTAGTAATACTATTCCTGCATCTCCCTGATGCCCATATTTTTAAAATTTCCAGACATAAGTTCAAGTAAATTTCAACATGCTGTAATTATCTTTGCTCCAAAACAGTGTGTGAAATTTCTGTGCATACTCTAAAGATGAGTGTAACAGACTAGTAGACTCCTCCTTTATAATCTACACTAAAGGTGGGTATAATCCAAGAAATGAGTAGGTAGAAACCCACGAAAATTAATCAGCCCCTTATATCTTAGTCACTAAGCTACACCTATAAAATCTGTGTGTTAATGCTAACTATTCATTGACTTTGAGATTATTTTATTATATAACAAATGTGTTCTTTCACACTTTTAGTGAGTTCTTGTTTACTGAAATGCTTTAATTCAAATGTACCAACCAATATAGTAATGCAATGTAACTATAGAGAAAAAACAATCTTCCTGTTTCCTCCATAATTGAGAAGATGTGACCCTAGCTGTTACCTATTAGTAACAGGTTTATATCAGAAGAAAATTACATACTGGATAAATGTAGGCATGGAGTATGATTTCAAGAGTGGGTTTCAGCTAAAATGACTAGTCTTACAAAGAAGTCAGTAATCTAGAAAGCTTATTTTCTGATTTTTATCCAATTTTTAAAACATGAGCCCACACAGAAATACTCATTCACAGGATAAGATTAATTTATTTATAATCGTCAGCACAATAGGAGTGTAATAGGCTCAATTTTCAACTAGTTGAGAAAACCCAAAAGCAGAATGAAGACTCAATAGGGAAGTTAAAGATAATTCTTAAAATATATGTCCATCCTGAGTAATTGAGTGAAGTATGTTAAATATTAGTACTCTGATGAATATTGTATTCCACTCGTATAAAGACACTATATTCAAAACTCACATATTCATCCTTAAGTCTCTGACTATGTAATGATTTCAGTTTTATGATTTCATATTCTTCAGTGAGCAACATTAAATAGAGCTGGTTCATTCTTTTATTTAAGTATTCATACTTAAACCATAAATCAGGTGTTTAATATAAGTTTGCTAAGCCCAACATATTTGAGGACATGATGTGAAATTTATTATGCCTTAGTAAAGAAACTCACCTTATCTCTAGGACCAAAGAGAAATTGATTTTCCAACCTTCTACATTGTGCTGGAAGATTGAAGAGCCAGCCTTTCGAATGATTTTATCAGAGCTATTGACAAGTGATCGACTCAAAGACAATTCACCATCTCTGAAACAAAACAAAATTGCCAGCTTTGTGAAAGTAAGAAACATTTTGTCTATATAGCACAGTACACAATTCGAATTAATACTGGTGATGAATTTTAGATATGTTTTCCCCTACAAGTTAGAAGGAAATATGCAAGCATGATGAAAGGTGTTATGAGGATTAAGTGCATATGACTCTCAGAACAAGATTCTACAGGTAATATTTTTGAAATTAAACAATTTCTGAATAAAAATGATATATACGGTACTTAAAGAAAAATAATCACCAAACATAAAGACAGAATTACATAATTCAGCAATCTCTCCTCTGGGCATATACCCAAAGGAATTGAAATCAGTATGTCAAAGAGATGCTTGCAGTCCCAAGTTCATTGCAGCATTCTTCACAATAGCCAAGATGTAGAAATAATATATGTGTCCATTAACAGAGGAATAGATAAAGAAAATGTGGTTATATATACCAATGGAGTACTAGTCAGCCCTTAAAAAGAACAAAATCCTGCCATTTCTGCCAACATGAATGAACCTAGAGGACATTATGGGAAGTGAATAAGTCTAAAACAGAGAGACAAATACCTTTTAATATCACTTACATGTTGATTCTAAAACAGTGGAACTCATGGAAGTAGATAACAGAATATAGGGAAGAAGGAGTGGGGAATGGGGAGAAATTGGTCAACAGGTACAAAATTTCACAGTTAGACAGGAGGAATAAGTTCTGTTGCACAACACAGTGGCTATAGTTAATAATATTGTATTGTATATTTTTATGTAGCTGCAGGAGATTTTAAATGTTCACACCACAAATAAATGACATGCTTTTGAGGTGATGGATATGCTAATTAGCCTGATCTTATCATTACACAGTGTATACTTGTATAGAAACTTCACATTGTATCCCATAAATATATACAATTATTATTTGGCAATTAAAATATGATAAAACAAATAAGCTCTGTTTCCTACTAGTCACTCACTAGCTCTGTTTAGACAACAGAGACAGAATGTTTTGTCAGTGCTCCTCCATCTGTATAATTGTGATTCCTAAGACTGTAATTTCATTTTTACAGAAGGCATATATGCATAATAGAAGGGGCTTCTGTTTTGAAGCAAGAATAACTTGGACTATCAGGTGATCTGGGCATCTTTGTGACTCTATGACTTGCTTGAGTTCCTGGACTCTACTCTCTTTCTAAGCCATAGTGGTCTTACCTTACCTTGAAAATTACAATAACTTTATCTAATATACCATGGCTTTGTGAGGATCAAGCAAGGCTCTGCATGCAAAAGTAATTTTTCAAAAATTGCATCGATTTCAAAACATCTCAACAATGAGTCACTTCCCTGACAGTTGGTGGAGAGACAGAGATTATAGTAGACAGAAAACTCATTCAGTAGCCATTGTTACTGGCATTTTCTCTTACATTAAAAAAAAAAAAAAGACTACCTCTCTGCAACCAATAGTGTCAAGCTAGTATATTAGGGGGCATGATACTAGCTGAGATGGTGGTGGGAGTGATGATGCTGGCAGATACCTATAATAGTATGCATGCCATTAGAACATTTATAACTGAATAAATTCATTATTCAATGCACCATTTTCTTGTACTTTATAAATGTAAACCCAGACTCAGAAAATCAAAAAGCTACTTCTTATGGGATACCAATAGTAACCGTAGCCCTTTGAGTATTTGTATTTATTTCTTTACATCACCTTTTACTTCTTAGAATGTCAAAATATAGTTAAAAAGTAACATGACTATTTGCTCCATAACAAAGTCTAAATCTGTGTTTATGTTTTGTTTTGTTTTGTTTTTGTTGTTGTTTGTTTTTTTTTACACAATCCTCCTAGTATCAATGGAAACATTGCCTGTGTAACAGTTATTGGATGAATTCTGTAATTGAAGCCTTATAGTTTGGTATTTTGGTTTGCATTCTTTTTTAAACATGTAGTTTAAATTTGAAGCAGTTCAAAGCATCATAGGCTGCTACTCCCTGTGAAATTCAGAATTCTATAAAAATTAATATCTTAAACTATCCTACTGATGAAAATGATACATTTGCATGCCTGTGCATGGCAAATAATTATTGCTTTATAGGGGGCATTTAGGATGCCAGGAAACACGGGATGTGCTTTACTGACCATCGGCCTAGAAGTCAATTTTTACATTATATTTCTAATGATAAAAACTACTTATGAATAAAAATGTGGCTATACACAGAAGCTAACATTCACACTTTGGGAAATATGACTACATGGTTTCAGGTACAAACTATCACTATTTCTGGGGATAAGAAATATTTCTAATCATCACTTTATTAATTGATGTATCAATGTCATCTTTTTCTAACTACAGATTGATATCATTATAATAATTATTTTCACCACCAATAAACTTTCATAGGAGAAATAAAAATATACATGGACTTGCACTCTTTAAAATGTGTGGAAAATCGGGGTATGGTGGGCAGTGCCTACTCAGGAGGCTGAGGTGAGGGGATTACTTGATCCTAGGAGTTAGAGACAAGTCTGAGTAACATCACAAGTCCCTGTCTCTAAAAACTAAGTAATTAATTAAATAGATAATCTATAGATGATTGCTTCATTGACATGTAAATACAGATACATTTTTACATGGCAGAATGTTTGCTATGATGTTTTCAGTTGTTCCAAACCTTTTCAGAATATCCAAGATTTAAAAAGTTTAAATCAGTGTTCTATGAATAAAATGCTACCATCTTACTCTGCTGTTTGAATTTCTTTCATTGAGCTGGTGATAAGCCAAATTTCAGACTTTTATCACTGGAAAGAATTTTGAATGAAAATATCTGCAACTAGTCACACTTCTTATACTCAGTGTGGGAGAAGGCCACTTAGTACAATCTGAAGCTCTAGAGTAAATTTCTCTGTATAAAGTTAAAGGGGTCCCATGGGATGTTTCACTCATGACCTTGGTAGCATTCTGTCTCAGAAAAGGCTCTTCCTTCCCATGAATGCGAAACTCGGAGAATGTTGCCACCCCTCTACTTATTTCTCATTCCAGATCAGACATGACTTTTGAACAGCTGCACTGAAAACATTTATTGCATAGGATCATCTACAAGAAGATTCAATACGTACTTTTACAAGGAAAAGAGCAAAACACATCAAAGAAATCACTCTGCACAAATCAATATAATACAAAGGATCCCTGTTTACATGGAGCAAAGAAAAATTCACTAAGATAATCATCCACGTGATACCAGTGGCAGGAATTAATCACTTTTTAGGCAACCTAGTATCTACAAATATTTCCAGGTTTCACCACAAGTTACTCTAATAGATTTGCAGTACGTAAGACATATGATTAATTTCATTTCATGGCATTAGGTCTCAAAAGCCCCGTATTCCACCCCACTGAAACTCTTCATGACTTGGCTTTTGAATGTATTTGTTCCCTTTGGACTAGGTTAAACTTCCTCTTTAATATAAAAATTTTAAGAAAAGAATTTGCATGAAACTAAGCCTGAACACACACAGCAGGCCATTTCGTATTTTCATTACCTAAGTGTCAAACAACTAAAAATAAAGATGATAGGTTCTACCTTAATTTATTGCTTATGAGTTTTATTAGAATTGTGAAATGTGAAATGTGAAGTAAAGTGCAAATTCTAGATTTCACGAGGTTGTGTTTCAACCTAGAACAAACTGGAACTAACTTTGCTGTCAATGGTAATACTCTACGTAAAAATACTTATTTCCACTTTCAATTTTATCATAGGTTTCAGGACTAATATTGTTGATTACTTAGTAACACAACCTAAAGTACATACTCAAATTATAAGGGAGATTTCTGGATAATAAGAAAAGTAAGTTAGTCTCATTTGTAGTCAACCAGAAAAGTAGTGTGTAGCAAGTGTGTAGCAAGATTTAAGGACTAACAAAACAAATATTTATATCACATTAAAGTCTATGTTACACTTTCAAATATATTATCTCATTAAATGAGGATGCTTACATATTTTACCTGTGGGAGCCTTACATTAACACATTTCCAATCATACCCAAAAGAGCACAAAGAGCTAGTTAAGTCATAAGCCAACTGTGAGGTCTATTAAGAAAGAAAAGTTACTCAAGAACACACCACTTAATGCCTTCACTGCTCTTTGACTTAAACTTTATTAACTAATAGGCTTTCGTGGAAGGAAACATGAATTTTAGATGTTCAATAATCATTACTTGACCTATGCTGGAACAATTCCTTATATATATATTTAAAAAACAAAACAAAACAAAAAAAAAACATGCCACAGGTATTCCTTTGGAGATATGAGAGTGTGGATGGTTGGTGAGAAGGTTGTGCTGGTTCTCTATTTTTCCGTCTGCGTGGAATGATGGCACTATAGTAACTGTAGATGGGACCTTCAGTTGGGGGGGAAGGGTCGAAAGGATAAAGGAACTGCCTGTGTATGGCAAAAATGGTAGCAGAAAAGCTAAATATGAATCTGGGGTGGTGACGCAAGATTCAAGGACTACGGAAGGCCCTTCTTTGAAACTGCTGCCAAGCCACAAGGCTCGCAGTGCCCCCCAAAGGCCAGAGACTGCCTTGGTTGCCTCACTTGAATACTGGACCGGGATCTGGAGTCGAACCTCCATTCCAGTTTACTCAAAACTGGCCTCTCCACGTGGCTTGGGTAGAAAGAGAGTCAATGAGATGATTAGATCGTTTCATGAGTCAACTCCTCTACCAGAAGCGCTATTTAGGAGTTGAAACGAAATAACGAGCTCGAGTCACAAGCTTTTCCAATGAACCTTTCATCCTGGAGAAAAAGGAAACAGTGCTCAGGGAGCCTAGATGTCCTCGCATTGTTCCTGGAGCTCCAACTCCATCCACAGTCTCGGTCTCTCAGGAAGAGCCAAAGCAGCCAGGACGCTACAGGGCACGGGTGTAAGCGCGATGTTCGCGGTCAGCCCTCCGCCTCGCCCCACCAGACTGCCACTGCGGGTTTTAATTAAGAAGGAGGAGCCACTTGCCAACTGAGCGTTGAAAGTGACTTTGGTGTGTGTGTGGGGGGCGGGGAGGGACGAAAGGGGCCTGAGTCCTGAAATAAAGGCTTGCCCCTGTCTTCTCACTCATTCTTTCCCCCTCGCCGCCAGCGCTCTGGGAGCAGGGGGATAGCCCCGGTGCGCGCCTCTCTTCCTGTTTGGTTAACTCAAGCGCCTGCCCCAACGCCTTCTCAGCCAAGCTGGGAGGAAACTGCCTCAGCTTGAAAAGGATGCGGGCAAAAGCCCAGCCCGGCTAGCTCAACTGCCGCGCCTGTGCCCGCCTCCTCTGCCTTAACGCCTAGGGCTGCTTCCACCAGCCGGCGACGTCCAGGAAAGGCCACAGGAGAAATGACACCCGTGCAATGTGGAGTGTCCCGGCTCCACTCCCCCCGCAGGGATTCGAGGCGCGCTCCTTTTCCTGGCCACGGTTTAGGGAGGCTCGGAGACTGACACCTCGGCAGTATCTGGCGACCCTCTCCTCACTCGCCCCGCCCACTTCTGCTCTCCAGGGTCCGAGCCAAGGGCCCGAACCCTCGGAGCCCTAGTGAGCCTTGGCCGCTTTGTCTGAGATCAGGCTTATCTTCCTAGCCCACCGCCCGGGAGGGAACAAAGAGCCTCGACCCTCACGCTCTAGCCTCTGCCTCTCATCGGAGCCCCACGCGCCCATTCATCACCTTTCTAAAGACCCCTTTGTCTGTCTGGCAAGCACAGGTCTGCAAGGGATGCCCACGCCCCTGCCCAAAGTCCTGTTTTTCTAACAATTGAGCCAGATTGGATATTCAAGCCACCCAGTCTTGTGTAAACGATCTCATACCGGTCTCTTTTACCCCCTCAGAATAGACCATGTTTAGATTCGTTGATGCATAACGACCATTCCAGTCCATTCCTTGCTAGCTTTTTCATTCTCTTCCAGTCCTCATTGACTGTGCTACTGTTATCCTGGTTTTCTACAGAATAGCAAGTCCTTCTGTAAGGATAAACCTGCATCTTGCTCACTTAAATAAATGCTTATTACCTAGGGAGCAGGAATATCAAGAAATGGAGTGCAGGAAGTTTAAGAGCATGTGTGTGTGTTAGCAGTCCCATCACACACACACACACACACACAAACACACACACAGACACACACGCGCAAGGACTGTTTTCTTTGTTTTAATCAATGTCAGATAAAAATACAAACTGGGCAGGCATCTCTGCTGGTGTGTAGTTTCTGATAGAGGACGCCTCCAAACCGGAACAGGGAGGACTTCCGAAACAGGACTTTGAATAGAGTTGACAATCAGGTTCACATCCTCAGAAAAAGGCTTCCAGGCTATGTCAGCAACACAAAGTTGCACCACCTCCTGGGTAAACTTCAAAGACACAGAGGCCAGCGGGTGGAAGGAAGTGTGATATTTAGAGAACTTAATGGGGCGGGGGAGAGTCTGAACTCATCTAGACAAACTAAAAAAAAAATAGCAGAAATATAGTCTCTGTGAAGCTACAGTACCCAGTTTCTTTCTAAAACTGTAACCATGACGCCCATGCGTTTTACCCATAGAAGAACAAATAAGGAAGTATCCTTAGTGGTACTGGAGTTTCTAACGCAAATTATAATACATTAATCTATCCAACGTCAAAAAGAAAAAAAAAAAATAGAGAAACAGAGTATACCTATTTCCTGCTTTCTAAGCTTTACCTTCAGCCCTTCAAGAAACCATCTATCTCCAGTATCTCCTTAGGTGACAGGACAGATAAAACAGGCAACCGTTTGGAGAATAAAGACATCTCTCTCTGTCCACAGATTAAAAGGACAAGGGCACACGTTCTTTGTTGACACTTCTGCAGTGACTTTTCCTTTGGCGTGAGAGCACCCAGGGCCAACACAACTGTCACCACAACCGCACAGAGCAAGTTGAACTCATACTGGGAACAGCTTAGAGAAGCACGCACATCTCAACAACAGCCTTTGTTATTTAATTTATGACACTAACCACACGCAAGCTCAAACACACACACATGCTATCCTAACCACCACTCTACCTTCTATATTCACATTTCATTTATGGCTTGACTTTTTGTCATATCCTGAAATGAAGCTTTGCATTTACCCGATGAGTTGCGTCTCCTGGTGCTCCTCAGTTCTTGCTATTTCTTTTGTCTTATAAAAGATCAGGAGCAGACTTATTGTGCAGATCGTCCACCTCTTCCTAATGGAGCGCATCTTGGGTGCCCGGGAAAGTCCTGGTTGCCCCAGCTCCGGCACCTTCTCTTGATATAAAGACTCCGTTTTGGGGAGATAGTCGCGGGGTTGAAATCTGTAAAATGCGAGGAGAGCTTGGAGCCGGGATCCCAGGATCAGATCGCTGGGGTCTTCTGTGGCCGAGCTCCCTCTTGTCCTCGAGCGCTGCCCAGCGACCTCTCGCCCCGTTCGCGCCAGCTCTGCCAGGGTCGCTCAGCGCCTCCTCCCTGGGGCTCAGGTTTCTTTTCAGATGAGACACCTTGTGCATTGGAGGTGGCGGCAGCTTCTGCAGCTGGGTTCGGGGGCGTCACTGGCCCTTCCCTCTTGCTAGGAGATAAACGCTGCGCAAAGCCAATCACCGGGCTAAGGGGGCGGAGGCTGCTTGGAGAGTAACGTCCCCGGCTCTGCCTGCTCTGTGCCGGGAGAGGAAGCTCACAGTGCTACGCGCCTGCGAGCTCACGCACATACACATATACATACATATATACGCACACACACGTACACACAGAGCCACACACACTCTTCTGGGATATCAAAGCATCAGCTCTCTGGACCTGGGGGCTCCAAGATAGTCTATCCGCATCTAGGTGAGAGGGCACCTCGCCTGGGGACAGATTACAAAAGCGTCCCGCCCGAGGAATGCTTCGGGTAGAGCTAGGGGTGGATTGCAAGAGGAGTACCTTCTTTCAATCGCTTTTGCTAAACACACACCCTCACACGCAAAAACAAGCCCTCCGAGGTGGAGTGAAACGGGGTGCCGGGGTGGGGATGGCGTTGGAAGGAAGAAGACTTTTATTATTCCACCAACAGCTCAATCTGGAAAGACACGCATGAACCTGTTAGGCGATCAGCCCACTCTGCATGGGTGGTGGACGACGACCCTGGCTCAGCATTCTGAAGGAAACAAGTGATGATAGAGGTGTCATTAGGAACTTCATGGATATTTATGCTCCTCCCTTTAATTCTCATTTGGAAACTCCTCACGCAGAAGTCAAGGAAACTCCAGTCCCGCTTAAACTTCATTGCAGAGAAACAGGGTTCTGAAAAAAAAAAAGCAGCTACCACGGACCTCTCTTTTAAACGCAAATACACCCACACACATTCGGATACCAAGAAACGAAGGAAAGAAAGAAGGAAAGGAAAGAAAAGGGGGGGGGGGGAGGAAGGAAGAACAAAGTCCTCTCCAAAAGTCTCAATTATATATACATACATATGCAGCCTCTGATTGTCACCTCTCCTCCGTCCTACCATTTTTCGTACTTGTATTGGGTGGCAGGGACACTTTTCAAGAGTTCTGTGTTCAAGCGCTCGCTCTGAGTACCTCTCCTCCATCCTTTGGTCCTTGACGTCAGTGGAAGAGATGCTTGCTACTCTGTTAGTACCACGCCTTGGTCCCGGTCTTTAATGTGGTCTGGTAGGTCGGGAGGCACCTCTAGCATGAGACAAGGTATTGGAACCAGGATTTCCCTCATCTATATGCGCCCGTCCCCAGCTCCCTGGTCGCCAGAGTTTCTCTCCAGTTGAATTCCTTGTTCCTTCAGGTTGAACAGTAGCTTCAGCGGTCTTTCATGCTCAGAAATGATGAGGCCCAATTCCAATCTTCCCTCCTGCCGGAAGTAAGAAGGGGAATTCTGAGTTGCTTGTCGCCTGACAGCTTAAAATAGCAACGAAAACTACCAGCATCTTTGCTTAAAAACCTGAAGTTCCCTCCAGTGTTTACCATACTTCCTCTAGAGTTTAGGAAGTTAAGAACTTGTGAGATCTTGAGTTTCCTCCTCGCAGCACAGCGAACGGGGTCGGGTATAAAAATGCTCCAAGGAGCAAGTAATTACGAACCTTTATTGACACTACAAGTGCCCCGCAGGGAGCATTTCAAGTTTATTGATTTCTAGGCAAATCCAGCCTGCATTAATGCATTTCCGTTGGACTGACTTCTGTTAGACTCACTTTTATTCTGGCAAAAACTGCCAGAATAAAACAACTTCTTATTCAAGTTAAAAGAGTTCGGGGGCTGAGGGCAGGGGTCGGGTGGGATAGGGATGCGTGGTGAGGATGCTAATTTATCAAGGATAAACTTTGATTTGTAAACAGTAGACAACTATATTTTAGATTATAAGTAAAACACCACTCTCTGTTAGGGATAGAGTAATAAGTATCATTTCATTAAACTAATTATTTCTTAGGCAATTGTTATAGGGCAGGCAATGTGTGAGGGGATGGGAGTACAAAGATGAACAAAACGTAGCATCTAGTCAGACACAAATCCTATTCACTCAAAGGGGGACATCTTTTAAAATAATAATTTACAGTATGGCACCATGCATCAGAAACATCATTTGAAATATACCTGGTATCTGAGTAAGCTCCTGGGTTGAAGCACGTGGAGTGTTTAAGCCTTTTGAAGCCCCGAAGATGAGTTTCCCGGTGAAGGGAACACACAGACCCGTTTTCAAAACTGACAAGGGATTAAGCCAAACAGAGGGAGGATAGAACATTGCAAGTGGAAAAAGGAGTATGCGCAACTGCAGAGAGGAATAAAACGCTGGTGCTTTGGGGCAACTTTGAAGTGGCTCAGTACTGTTAGAAGGGAAAGTGGTAAGGGAGAGTGCTGGTCCAAAAGTTTCAGTGTGCTCATAATAGTCTATGGCTCCAGAGTGTGGAACTGTCTTCTCTAATGAGAAAGCCACAGAAAATCTTCAAGAGGAAAGTGAGTTTAATTTATGTATTAAGCTTTAAATTACATTAGGGGAAACTACTTACCTAGCCCAAACAGAAAAAGAAAAGAGGGAAACTAAAGCAACCAAGAACTAGTTATAGGAACACATAAGACAAATGTAAATGCCCAGAAGAAGAATAAGTGAGCTCTCCAACTGTATAATGCTGCTGTTTCTGAATTTTTTAAGCACAGAACTTTTTATATTACGGTGAGCAATTCTGAATGACTGATAACTGTTCAGCGAGACTCCAGGAATTCTTCTTCCCAAATTAAAGCAATTTAGTGTTTGGAGTGTAATTGAATGCCATTTGTTTAATATTGTTAGACTCATTAAATACAGAGCCATTATAATTTACCAATTGAAAAGAAGCAATACAGGCCAACACTTAGACCAAAGTGAGAACAGTATGGTTTTTCTCAATATGTAAGCAGGTGCAAGAATTATAAATATGGAACAAAAAATCTTGTCCACATAAGAAGTCTTTTGGAATTAACTTCTTCTATTAGAATGCTTAGTTTGATGTTCCTGAGCAAATAAGGTTGTTTCTAAATTTTCATTTGATCTTTGGATTGTAAGTTCTTCAATAAAGAGAATATATTTGTCTTTATTCAGCACAATTCTGCAATTATACAATAGCCTATAAATAAATAATGTGAGTAATGGCAGCTGGTTTTAAAATTCTACTTTATCCTTTGACTTAATGTAAATTCATATTTTCATTGCTGGCTGTATTCTCAAATCTAGTTGGCAAGAAATGAATAGATACTTGCAGTCTCATGGTGGAGTTTTTAATGACCCGTGACATTTTTAATAGACTATGTTTTTAAAAAAAAAACATTAAGGTGTATAACAAAATTGAACAGAAAATACAGAGAGTTCCCATATAACTCTACCTTCTCCCCATACTCACAGCCTCCCTATCAACATTCCTCATCAGAGCAGTACATTTTTTTTTACATTCAACGAACCTACATGTATATATATTAGCACCTACAGTACATGGTTCATATTAGGATTCATCCTTGGTGTACACTTTATGGGTTTTGCCAAATATATACTGAACATATATTCACCATTATAGTATAATACAAATTAGTGTCACTGCCCTCAAAATCCGCTGGGATCTGATTATTCATGCTTCTTTCCCACTGCCCCTCACCCCAGGCTCTGACTTCCCTAATATTTTTACTGTCTCCATAGTTTTGCCTTTTCAAGTGTCATACAGTTGGAATCATACAGTATGTAGCTTTTTCTGATTGGATTCTTTGACTTAGTAATATGCTCCATTTTTTTTCATGGCTTAAAAAACAGATTTTTTTTTTTTTTCATGGCTTGAAAGTTCATTTTATTTTAGCACTAAATAAAATTCACTGTATGGGTATACCAAAGTTTATCCATTCACTTACTGAAGGACATCTTTATTGCTTTCAAGTTGGGCAATTATGAATAAGGCTGCTGTAAACATATTTGTACAGTTTTCTGTGTAGATGCAAAACTTTCAACCCATTTGGGTATATAGAAAGAAATAAGATTGTTGGATTATATGGTAAGAATATGTCTAGTTTTGTAAGACACTGCCCAAGTGGCTTCCAAGGTGGCTGCACCATTTTGCATTCCCATCAGCAATGAATGAGAGTCCTTGTTGCTTCATATCCTTGCCAACATTTGCTGTTGTATTGGTTTAGAGTTTGACCATTATATTAAACGTGTAGTAGTTGTATCTTACCTATGTTACCGTTGTCTTAATTTGCAATTTCCTAATATTATATGATGTTGAGCAATGTGCACATGTTTATCTTCTTTGGTAAGTTGTGTGTTCAGAACTTTTGCTCAGGTTTTTAATCAGGTTGTTCATTTTCTTACTATTGAGTTTTAAGAGTTCTTTCTATATTGTGAATAACAGTTCTTTATTACATCTCTTTTTTGAAAATATTTTCTCTCAGTTTGTGGCTTGTCTTTTCATTCTCTTGACAGTTTCTTTCACAGAGCAGAGGGTTTTAGTTTTAATGAAGTCCAACATATTTATTTTTATTTTATTGATGATTCCTTTGATGTTTATTTAAAATCTAAACCTAAGATAAACTAGATTTTTCAGATATGTTATCTTTTAGGCATTTTATCATTTTCTGTTTAGGTCTATAATCTGTTTTGAGTTGTTTTGTGAATCATGCAAAGTTTGTGTCTAGATTATTATTTTTTATCATGTCAATGTCTAATTGTTTCAGCACCATTTGTTGAAAAAGCTGTCTTCTCTCCATTGTATTGTCTTTGCTTCTTTGTCAAAGAAACAAAGGTTAAATATATTGGGTGGTCTACTCTGGACTTTCTATTCTGTTCCATTGATCTATTTGTCTATTCTTTCACCAATATCACACTCTCTTGACTGCTGAAGCTTTATAGTAAGTCTTGAAATAGGGTAGCATCAGTCTTCCAACTTTATTGTTTTCCTTTAATATTGTGTTAGCTATTCTGGGTCTTTTGTCTCTCTGTATAATCTTTGGAATGAGTTCGTTGTTATCCAAGAAAATCTTATTGGGATTTTCATTGAGCTTTCACTGAATCATGTATCATGTTGGGAAGGAATGATATCTTGACAGTTTGAATATTTCTAGCTG